GTTGCTGTTGCTGCTGTTGTTGCTGCTGTTGCTGTTGCTGCTGCAGTTGCTGTTGCTGCTGTTGGTGCTGCTGCTGCTGCTGCTGCTGCTGCTGCTGCTGCTGCTGCTGCTGCGGCTGCGGCTGCGGCTGCGGCTGCTGCTGCTGCTGCGGCTGCGGCTGCGGCTGCGGCTGCGGCTGCTGCTGCTGCTGCTGTCGTCGTCGTCGTCGTCGTTGTTGTTGTTGGCAGAAGCGTGCCTGATCCATTTGGAGCTTGCGGCTTCAATTAGATCTCCTTCTCCAAAGTTCCTTAACCCAAGGCAATGTTGCCGCAGTTTGCTGACGAATTTTGTAATAGACCAGGCCACTTGATGGAATCAGATGCCAACTTAGCAGCGGCAGACATACTGAGCAGCTGCACCTCCCCCCTCAGAGCTCCCTGCCAACCCTAGCATTTGAGCAGGGTGAGGCAGCCTGCTGAACGAGCATCCGCATAAATGGCTTTGCTTGCGGGGTTTCCGTGTTTCTGCTTAGATAAGGAAGGATCTTGGAGGTGTGAATTTCATCATCTCCAAAATCCCGAGCTCAAGCTAACATGAAACTTTACAGCCAGAGGCCTGCAGCTTTGCTTTGAACCTCTTCATTTCTATACTCACTATATCTCACGATTAATTATGCTACTTGCAGGTCAGCGCAATTGAATTCAACCCTGAGCCTTTACAGCATAGCCACGAACCACATGTATGTACTACGCAACAAATTGAGGACGTAAAGGGGCCTGGCAATTGGACATGGTGATAGTCAAATTCATCCCATGTTCAGGTTTGTGCGGCCCACGGTGTTCCTCGGTGTCCCACGCGTCTACGAGAAGATGCAGAGCAGGATGATGGCCGTCGCATCGACAATCACAGGCATCCGGCAACCAGCAGGGCAAATCAAGAGTGTGTCAAACAAAAACTGTGGAAACCGTTTGGGAGTTCACTTGGTTCCATGCACCATGCCAACATCCCCAGATTTCCGCTCTCTTGCATCAGGCTTCAGGGCTACTCCTGAATCATCGAGGTTCCTCGTACAACATGGCAAGACATGTAAATGTAAGTGACCATGTCAAGCCACGCTTTGGAAGCGTGGGCGGAGATACTTCAGTCCGAGTGCGCACTTAGATGTGCAGACATCATGTCCGCAAATGGATGTCTGCGAAATTCATGAGTTGGGCTGGCGAGGTGTCAAGAAGTCCATCGCCACTTGGGCAAAGGGCAAGGGCTTGGAATACTGCCGAAATCAACAGGCGCTGGGTGCAGCCTGTTCGATGTTGATCACCGTGTCACAGCACTGAGCATAATTGTTTGTTTTCTGCTTACGTTTGTCAATGCCACAGTGCAGGGATGCCGGTTTCTTTTTTGACCAGTAGCTGTGCAGTGCACGCTGCGCTTCATCTAGACATGGCTTAAACAAGAAGAGCCGCGCGTTTCTGAAATGTTCGGTTTTGTCATTGCAGCCGCAGCCAGGCTGGCGGTTCAAGGGCTAAGCCGCTCTTTCACTCCATTGCAGCCTGAGCCTCAGACGGTGGCAAGAATGAAAGAAGACCAAGACAAGTTTCCGTACAGTATCGATGGACCAACCTTCGCCAAGGACAAAGTTATTCTCTCCAAAGCTCGCGATGCACTTGGTTTGGATCAGTGCAAAGTCTTCATTGTAGGCGGGCCGGGAGCTTCCGAAGTTCTGAGTTTTGAGCACTACCGCGCTACAAAGCTTTTTATAGCGTCTCCACAACTTGACGATGTAAAATTGAGCACAAGGGCAGAGCAGGCCATGCTGGCAACTGATGTTTCATCCTTCTTGACCCGAACTCTCCATTGAAAGCGTGTTTGCTAGAGGTGCTGCCCCGATCTCAGCCGACACACTCGAGTACTTCGGCCAGCTCGGCATGATGATCCAGAATGTCCCCTGGCCGACATCATATGGGCGCTAGTCCAGGATGCAGCTTTATGGCTGTTGGGGGTGCGCTGCCATGCCCGCAGCCTGTGTCTGACACGTTCGACTTCCAGTCGATTTGAATACAGGCGCGTGTGTTCACATTCGCTCTTTCATTCTTGCGGACAGCAGAATCCTTGTAACTGGGACGCTAGCCGCTATGGCGTACTGAGGTTTATGGCATGAGCGAGTCATCCGGGCTGACCACACTCTGCATGCCATCATGGAATGCCTTTGGCACAGTGGGTCAGGCACCTGCGGCCTGAGCTTACGTGGTATCAACTGTTTGAGCCATGCCTCTCCGCTTCACAAGGGTTGGCTACCACTCTTCCATTCAAGATGTGCGCTCTACAAGGTCGTAACTCAATAAGGCACTATGCCCTTCACCTTGACATGATGAGTCTGAACCATCCAAGAGTGGCGTAGGCACTACCTGGCATCGAAGTCAAGTGTTTCAAGACTGGGCCAAGCGGAGAGAACGTGGAGGCGCGGACGACCCAACGGCCCCTTTGTTTTGCCTGCTTTCTCTTGCTTGCGGACGCTGAATTGGAGTGCAGCTGGTTGAGCCGCTACAAAGAGTGCTTCATTTGTTGGCTGATGCGCTTCCAGACCTGTCATCCGTAGCTTCAGCCTGCAGGTCCCTCGATGTCAGCCTGGTGCCAAAGTCGTGCCTCATGCGTGTATTGAGAGAACGCGAGCACGTGCATTCATCTAAGAAGGTGCAGGATGTTGGGTATGTGCAGATTCTTTCGCTGTAAGGACCCATTTCAAAGACGGTTTTTGCTGGTCAGGGTGGGTTGTCGTGACAAGTAAGACACTTGAGCGCGGCTATGGCCAGGTGCCGGAAGACTGCCAGGGTATCTCGGCCGCAACAGCTATAATGCTAGACAATGCATTCACTGCCAATCATCAGCAGCATGGCTAAAGCAACGCGCGTATTCATATACATGCGCGTTCAATATACATCACCAACCACAAAATGTCTAAAAGCGTAGCAATTTGAGAGGATTTGAGAATAACCCAAACAGCCTTTGATTCCTCGTCTCTCGGAGGCAAGGGCTGTTGGTTACGATGCGCCCATGGCTGAGGTGAGATCTGCTTCCGCCCGCAGCTCAGGAAGCCTATCATCTTTAGGTTTTCGAAACCTTGATGAAGTCCAGTTTCCTCGCAGACGCCAGCATGATGACATGATGCAGAGGCGGCCGGCACATCATGAGTGGCTATATGGCTAACCCCAGGCAGGGCTTCGTTACCACCGGGGCATGCGCAGGATTGTCTGGTGATTCCTCGTTCAGTGCTAGCTAGACCGCTAAACCACTGAAGAAGGAGACATGTCAAAAGTTGGGCCGCTGCTGGCAGGTTTGGTGAAGCTCACATCAAGGCGTGACAGATTCTGCTCTTTGCTCCTGGTAATTGGCTTCCGCCCACTGGCTATGCTTTCCAACGCATAAGACTAAATTTGACAGCACAACATTCCACGTGTGCAGATGTACCTAGGTATGCATCTCTCTCAATATGGGGAGATTGCATGCGCTGTGAGGATGTTAAGTCCTCAGCTCCATAGCAGGAGATACGGGAAAAGAACGCAAGCACCATCGACAAGGATGGATGGCTGCACAGCGGCGACAAGGCCAAGCGGTCATCATTCTGCTTTTCTGGAGTCCGTAGCTCCCCAACATGCCCGACCGCTGGCTGTTGCTTCTGCTACATTGGTTTCTTGTGTTCTTGTTGCAACGCAATCTTCCAGCAGCTGCATTTTAATCGCTTGGCGCAAGAGCCAGGACTGCGTAGAATTCATGCATTGCAGAAGCCCACGCGGGTCCAGGGCTGTATGGACAGCAACGGCGTTGTGCGCATCACCGGTCGTTACAAGGAGCTCATCATTGGAGCAGGCAGATCTTGAAGCAGAAGACATGCGTGTAATTTGACACTGCTTTGGCCCAGCCCCCTCACAATTGAAATTAATTACTGGTGGGTGAAAAGAAGGAACGCCCCCTTCGGTTTGATAAAGCTTTGGGATCGGCTTGAGGCGAATCATATTGACATAGTTAAAAGATGTTAAAAGTTACAAAAAGGCCTTGCGCAGTAAAGATCCCAGAGAGTGGGAAAAGAAACGCACCATTTCAATGAGTTCAACATCACTAGAGCACGTCATTCGGAACTCAGACCTGTAGCCATGTAAGTCTCACGTTTGCTCCCAGGCGGCGAGAACATCGCACCCGTGCCAGTTGAGGACCTTGGGTACCTGCTGCGGACAAGCTTGGGCTATTCTGGTCCATAGGGATAGCTTCAGGACAAGGTGAAGCAGATGGCACCAGCCCTCTCAAACGCTCCGGGCCCAGCAAAAGCTGTCACGGTTTCCCATAGACCTGTTAATGTAGATATCAAAAAGGGTCCATCTATGATCCAAGACTGGTGTAGAAATAAATTGGGGCTCCGCAAGCAGCAGCCGTAAAGTCCCAACCCGGAGAGTCAGCACTGCGTCAGGTCATGATGGTTGGCGACAACCGACGCTTCAACATTGCTTTGGTGACGCTGCTGGCGGAGGCTATCGGCAAGCGTCACTTTGTCGAAACACAAGACTTCAAGTGTAAACTTTAGCGGTGAGGCGCCCTTCAGCCGGCTAGCTCTCACTGTTTGCCTCAGACTTTACTGTAGGGCTTTGCAAGGTGAATGATGCAATATGATGCCGAATGCAACTGGGTTGATCTTCCCTCGGTCTGACAGGGCGCCACAGGCGAACTCCCAGGAGGTGACAGCCTCACCGGAGCAGCGCTTGAGGTGGCAGGGCACACACGCATTTGGATGCGCCATGCGTGCCTCTTGTTACATCCCGTACCTCCTTGTCCGCAGCGCTGAATCATGCAGCGAGGACATGGCAGGCCCTACTTAGCTAAGAGCAAAAAGCAAGTAATTCCTCACGACTGCTCTTGACCATTTTGTGCTAACAGAATCAACTACTGAGGATTTGCATTTTCCGCTTCCAGAAAGCCTTGCAGGTGAACCCAGCTGTGAAGACCATCTCTGAAGCGGTGAAGGACACCTGCGTTTCCAGCTGGAGAAGATTTTCGCACGGGGGTCATCACGGTACTTCAACAGGACCCTGTGTGGCAGAAGTACATTCAGGATGCTATTGACGCAGCCAACTCTGATACGCAACTTGGTTTGCACGATCAAAGCAGAAGACGGCAAGCCTGGCAGAGGTACAGCTCAATGCAATACAAGTGGTAGCTTGAAGAATTGTTTCGGCCAACAGCCAAAAAATCAGCAACAAGAGCGGCAACAAGGGCATGGACCCTATTGTATGGCCCGTCGCATGGAACACATCGCATGCCTGCAGGTGTTCGTGCCTTGCAGTAAATCTTGTTCGGGCAAGAAAGCTTCTTTCCAATTTTTGTCAGGAAGCAGCAAGAATCTAGCTTTTGGCTATTGCAGCTAAGGAGTGCAAAATAGGCTCAGGAAGCCCTGCATGCATGCGAAGCTAGCGATTAAGGACTGTTTGCCAAAACAACAACTGGAAGATACAGAAGTTCGCCATCGCTCCCCGAGATTTTTCGGTGGAGACAGGCCGGATGTAGCCTACGACCTCTACTCCATGCAGATGTGGGAGTACCTTTGAGTTTCCTGCGAGGAGAATTCACGCCGACAATGAAGCTTAAGCGGTCTGTGACTGAGGAGACGTGGGTGAAGAAGTGCCGACCTTCAAATGGCCGGGTTTCGCGATGTTTCGCATGCTTGTGCTGAACATTGTTAGAAGAAGCCCTGCATTTGAATCCTATTTAAAGAACGTGGAGCATGCATCCGTTGCACCCAACCCCAGAAAGTCCTTTGATTTCCACAAGCCCTACTTAGAGCCCTGACAAGAGGAGATGTGGAAAGACCTGATTGACCCGCTCTACAGCTGATGCCTTTCGCCAAAGTCTAGCTTCCGGGGATTGATGGCCAGCTTGCTCTTATTTGCATTTGGTTGCTGAGGTGCACATAGCGCTCAGATTGCCACCTGTGATGAACCCATCGCTCTGCGACGAAAAATGCGTGGCTGCAAGTTTGCGGGTGCAATCGCTTTTGTACTTGGTTGACGGGCCCGCAGCAGGAAGCTGCTAATTTTTTGCAGGGTCACAAGGGATTTCTTGGGTAAGAGACCTTTATCCAAGCAGCAGCGTGGGAGAAGCGTCGGGGAGCTAAGCTGCAGCCGAAGGAAAAACAGGATGTTTTCATTTCCGGCGTGGAGTTCTTATGGGTTCTTAGAGGGGTCGTGGTGAAGGGTCCCAGATTAGCTGGAAGGCTTCGGCTAGATTGCCTGGAAACTGGAGCCGGTAATTGAATGTAACTGCAATATGACAGCCCCCAAAAAAACTAGTTTGTTTGTTGAGGTTCACACACTGCGTTGCTGCTGAATCAAGCTTGGACAGCTACGTAGAGGCGTGCGTCAGCAATTTTCCATTGCGACCATGAAGCTTTCTTTCATCCTTCTGACAGTGATGACAGCCCCGGCCTCAGCACAACCTGTTTAACCTGCTTAGTCAGAACCCTGCAGACTGAGAGTGACTGCACATAGGCGGTGGTGGATGTGGGGGCCTCAAGCGGGTTTCATGTAATAAATTTCACGGAGTGCAGTTCTAGGCTACGTTGCATGGACTTTAGCTTGCCTTTTCCAGGGCCGCAACCTTCGCGGCCAGCCATTTGATCTTGTAGATATGCACGGGACTTAGCTGACATGGGCACGCTCAGCTAATCTCACGCATGAATCGGCCTTGGCAGGGTGAAGGACAGCTTCGCAAATTTGGCAGCTCCGGCTGTTTTAAAGAGTCACTCTCGGATTGCCAGCACTGTACTGATCCGGCAGGCACATGCTGCGGCAACAGGGGCAGACATCGAAGGGAGCAACGGAGGCATGGCTTTTGCAGGTGGAGTGAAAGAGGTGAGCTCTGAGGCTCTCAGTTCCTTACTGGTTCTTAGTAGGGAATAACAATATATCATCTCTGTATAATATATTCCTCACTCCCTACGAAGAACCAGTAAGATGTCATAGCACCAGGCGCGCCGAGAGCCGCCTTCAATACCACGGCGAGTGGTGAACATTTGGTGGAGGAGTTTTGGGCTGGGGCAAAGTCAGGAGCCGTTTCGTAAGGTTTCTACACATTTTCAAAGGAGCTCTTGAGCCACAAGAAGCTCACTCAGGAGGCGGGGTGCCAGCTGCTTTTCGCTGCAATGTTCACATTAGAGAACGTCAGTGTGAATGCTTGCTGCGGCTTCTTAACCTCTGATCAAATCAGAGCTGGGCAGCGTAAGCCCAAGCATGTGAACAGATGAAAGCTTCCAAAAAGCAGTTTCCTGCAGCAAAAAAAACAGCTACGGTACAGCATCCCACCCTCAGATCAGCCAGCTGACCAGGTACGCCTGCAGCCCAAAACCTTCGGTTTAATCCGTTCGGGCCGCATCTATGATATCTACCTGAAGGCACTGTTGCTGCAAGTAAATGTCAGGTCTCGGTCTCACAGTTAGCAAGTTATACTCTCAAATTGGAAGTGCTTGGTCCTCCCACACCTCACGCAGGACGCCCAAGTCGGCGATGGAACCCACGTCTTGACTGAGGCCACTGAGTATTGGGCTGTCATTCTGAATTCGGTACATCAGGTCAGGTCTGAACACAGGGGTCAGTACGCTCACCGCATGGATGATTGTCATTGATAGGAAGGCAGCCGAGATCTCTAAAAAACTGAGACGGCTTCAAAACCAAGACCCTGCAGCGCAAGCTTGGCCACAAAGCTTGTCCCCTAATCAGCTCCCGCCTTCAGGATGGCGAGGTCAGCTTTGTCACGGCCTTGGAGAGAGCCAGATGCAGCGATGTTACGATCTTTGAAGTTTGCAAAGCCTAAATTTGCTCCTTTGCCACCTCGGGAAGTGTTGCTTTGACGCCTTGATGCTACTGGTACGGCTGAAGACGTCGTAGTCTGTCAGTTGCCACGTGTGTAGATGTTGCCTGATGTTGTCATACTCAAGATTGGGACACCGCGCAAGTTATGGCGCTCGGAATTGGCCGAATGCAAGGTGGTGAAAGATTTAAGCGTCGAAGTGTGCTGCTCAGACGTTCTTATCATTTGGCAGCCGTCCAAGTTTGGACTGCTGAATGTGCCACGACGCATCCTGTCCAGCATCAGGTCTCCTGCAAGTATGACCTGCGGCTTACAACCTTTGACTACGGTGAGTCCATGCCTCGGTTGCTCAGATGGAGCTGACATTGCGTCTATGGACAAAGTTCCCCAACATGACTCCAAGGAGTGGCGAAGTCAAAGCGCGCTTGTACCATCCTCAGCCTGTGAGCAGTTGAAATGTTGAAAGTCAGGCAAGTCACCGCTTGCATAGAGCCTTCACTCGTTGACGGCCACATGGTGAGCCACCAGATGCCAAGGCATGGCAAGGCAATGACGCTCAGCTTCCCCACCAAGGGGAGCGGCACTGGAGGCTGCATCTTTGACAAGGGTGCGACGCCAAGCTCAGGAAGGATCGCCTGTCATCATTGCTGCTGATGCTTCGTAGGTGTCAGTCCGATTTCACGTGGCATACGAGCTATAGTCGAAACTTCACCCGTATATAGAGGACTATTATCGGGGTTATTGAGGGAGATACTGGGAGTTTAGACTACATGGCTCATATGGCTAGCAAAATGTCCGATGATGTTATGACTCGCGCACGACATCAGGCCTAGACCTCGAAATAATCAATGTGGCGACCTCAGATTGTGTACCTCTTACATCCCATTACAATATATTACAATCAAGGGGTTTAGGGTTCAGGCCAGGTTTTGACTTCATGCTAAGTGAAACTGTTGGGATGCTCTTGCAGTTTTAACTAGAAAGCTGTGAAGCTTTTCATCTCACCTACAGCACAAGGGGGCCAATGCTACTGTACGAACCATAGATAATCATGAGTCTTTCTCTGCGGGTGAGAGGCGGAGGATACAATCCGCGCGAGGAATCCGCGCGATCCTCGCAAATAGAATGCATGGTCTGAAATGTCGTAGTCCTATCTATCCAGATGCAGCGATTGACTGTGTCTGTGAGGTATGCGGGTTCCTATGGAAACCCGATTGCAAGGGTTCCGCTTTCTTTGAAGTTCTTTTGTCAGGCCACGAGCTCCCGAGATGCTTTCAACGCGGCTCGGCTTGCAAAGAGTTTGCGAGATTTGGGCCTGATGCCTTCCCGAACATGGTAGACAGGCTTGCTACTAGCTGCGGGTTTTGAGAGCAGCGATAGGAACTGGGAAGCAGTACCGTGCATAAACGTCTTCCACCGCCCTTTCAAGCTCGCGTCGTCCGAATTTTTCGTGAAGTCAGGTGGCTATCCTTGATCTGTTGCCACTGGCTTAGAGGTGCTTGTCAGTCCAGGTCGGCATTAGCGGGGGCCAGCCGTGTGTAGTCAGTGAACCACAGCACAATTGCAGAAGTCCTGTCAAATGTTGCAAACAAGGAATAGTCATTACCCTGATCTTCATTTGCTTGAGGCGCAACAATGCCCTGGAACTGCGAACAGAAATCGTACAAGAGATGGAGGCTGAACACGGTCGAAGAGCTGGAAACGATATGCAAAGCTAGTCAGTGTAAGTCACGCCGATGTAACAGAGACTGTTCGGGCATAGCATTGGGCCAGTGAGCCGAGGGTCTTCCACGGCCATGACACGTGCGACACATAAGCCAACAGGGAGGGAGTCACAAAAAGGAGTGTGCTGAGACAATCTTACATCTCAGATCTGATAATTTGATGTTGAATTGAAATCATTTGGACAGGACGGACTCTGCCGCAGCCTCCTGGAGCCACGGGCCATGCAGCAGAGATCTTGGCAGCTGTCAGGGATTGCAGCTGTTGCTAATGGCGGCCCCCTTGGGTTTTTCGACCGTGGCCCGTTTTTGCATGAAAAATCCACCCCCAGGGCCAATACTGATTGCAATTGTTCAAGGCAGCTACAGTAAGGGATCATGACGTGCAGTGGGAGGATCGAGCAACTTCCGTTCTCAGCAATAAGCCTATACACAGCAGGGCCATGGGTAGCTGTGGATATGAAGAATACTCTTGTAATTGTTCCTAGGTCACCACTAGTGGTTGTAAAAATACGCGAAGCCTCAGAGGGTAGCCCGCTCCCAGGCCAGCTGCGTACCGTCAACCTTTGGTTCAGTTGGCAGCTGAGTTCATGCTTCTTTCCTTGCGCTCTGGTACTGTTAGGGCCGTTATGGAGGAAAGCAAATTATAAGCTTCAGACGCATAGCTGATGAGGAAGTCCGTGTCCAAACGGGCTGTAAGAGCGTTGGGCCAAAACTGCCAATAATGCGAAAGGATGCGATGGGTCTAGCACCTTGCTTCGCATAGTGCTCAGGGGAGAGTCAATGTGGCCACTGGTCATAGGCCGCCCTGCAGGGTTTTCTGCCACATGGCCGCCATGCAGGACGCGTATGATTTCAGCCCTTGTGCAAAGCTAGATAAACAACATGACATAGCAGAGGGCCAACACATGTAGCAGAAGTGCTGGCTGGACATATCGTTGTCTGGGACTTTGCTAGGTAAGTTAAAGCTTGATGCTTACGCCAGGCTTCATTTTCTTGTCCATTGCGCTTCTTTGCGGTGCCTTCGTGATTGGTCGGCAAACCGTCCACCTCGAAACTCGGATCTGGTTGGTCCAGGGCGTGCACCTTGAAGATGTCGAGGAGTCTGGCAAGGTGAGTTTCTAGCGTTCTTAACTGTAGCGCGCGTACATGACGAGCATTTGGCGCTTTTTTTTGTGCTGACGACGGTACGAGTCCTGAGAGTTAGGCAAGGGTGCCGGGCATAGCAACATAGCAATGCATTCTCCTTCAATCCCGATGTGCAGGCAGACCACCATGCTGGCAGACATCTTGGCCATCTCATAAACTGATGCCTTTATGCATCTGCATGCTCATTTACTTTCAGCATCTGACGGCATTGATAACTAGACAACCAAGCGGCCAAGATGTGATGTCTACACACAAGGCAGTTACCGTGACCAGCTGATCAGCAGCCTTCAAACCCTTCAAACCGCTGCACATCTCAGGGCCTATGCACCTGCCTCCAGCGCTGCAATTGCTGCTTTGGCCAATCTTCCACATACTCGGCGCCAGGCCAGTTGCATGAGATCAGAGTCGGAAAGGCTAGGGCTAGGATATGTGGCAAAGACTACAGCTGCTTATTGGATTTTTACCTGGGCAGGCAAATGGGTGTTTGCAAGAATGTTATGCAGTGGTCCACGTTAATGAAATTCTGCTGGGATCTCACATGTTATCTCTGCAGGCAGGGAGCAACAACGGACCCTCTCTGCAGCAGAGGACCCGTTGGCAAGCATTCAACGCAGACTGAGATCCAGGCAATCAAAACAGATCTTCAATCAGAAGGGCCCCATGGATGCACATACCATTCGCCTATGCTTGCCCCGTGTCAGGAAGGACATACCAGTTCTGGAGAGTCGCACAGTGACATCTCTGACAACCACGCCCGGCTCTTGGAACAGCCTTTGATAAAAGTTGGCCTGCGTTGGAGACAGATTCTTGCCAGGATTTCCTTCAACTCAGCAACGCGATGAGTGGCCGGCATCTCAGCTTGCAGATGCAGTGGCTTCAAGCTGACCTACCTACTAGCAGGCCTTTTTCGCAAATGAACTGCCCACAGTTTCACGCTGCCTCACAAGCTGGCACTCACAAACATGCTAACGAAAAAAGAGGAAAACAAAAAAAAAAAAAAACTTAAAGTCCTGCGCATTTAGTGGCGGCACTGCAGGCGGAGACGGGAACTTGTGTTTAAAATGATGCGGTCGAAAGACTTTCCGCTGCTGGTTTAGGGTTCCTGGTTTAGATTGTCATAATGATTTTGGCGTTCCGTGCTTATGTTTTTTTTTACTATTTCTTCTGCTATCTACAAAGCAGTGCAGTGCCGCCTTTGCTGTTGGCTGCAGCTTCCCAAAAGTGGGTTGCTTGTTTCACCTTAGTTGGCGCGGACTGCGCAGCGCGGACAATGACTGGAGGCAAAACAATGAGCACGTCAGCCACCTGTTACCAAAGAAAGCAGCGCATGTTGACTTCCTATCCACATCGGCTACCACTGCACTGCCACCCATCAAGCGATGCAGACAGGTATCGTGGCGCAGACTAGGTTCCTCACTACGTAAGAGGGAATTAGTTTACAGCTGCCGGAGAAAGTGTGGGCATCACATACCTTGAGACGTTTCTCATCGTAATGTTGGAGCCTCCTCCGCTGCTGTCGGCTGGGACGAGGGTGCCGGCAACCAGGTGCCCTGCTTGGGACTCTCAAGCTTATACGAAGTTGCCAGATTTGGTTGGCTTTCTCACGGCTTCTAGTAGCACGTAGATTGCCAGCAATCTGCAAGTTGGAGAGCGTCATTCGATTCATGAAGGTTTTGGGAGCAGCTGACATCAACGCTTATTGTTTTGCAACAAATCTGGCGAAGTGGGAGCAACACCGAATAGTCACGCAATTGTTCTGTTGCGATACGCTCCAGGCTGCAGGGCAGTCGGCAGGAGGCAAAGGTGATGCTCAGGATGTGTGTGGCAGCCATCCAGTCATCCAGTTGCAATGTCTCCGATCTGTCAGCGGGGAAGTTTCCTTAGCCTACTCCCGTCGTCTATTGTAGGTGCAGCGTTTGGATATGCACATACAGCATGTTCCCATTCTCGTGGAATGATGCCCTGTAGTTTCCACCTTATCTTCTGCACCTGAGCCCGTCAACATGACACTCACTGCTAGGCTGCGCCTGGCTCATGCAGTTGGAAGCCAGTTGGCGCAGAAGCCCCAGAGAAGGCTGAATAACCGGCGCTAAGCGAATCTTGAATCTGAGGAGCTGTAAATGCCGTTTGCGATCAGCATAATCCTTGCTCAATGTTAGACTGGCCGTGCTCGTGGAATGTAGCGAGTCGAGCGGGCTTAAGACGCAGGCTTGGGGACCTACTAGGCCGTCGTTATTATCAGATATTATCAGTACCGCAAGGGTTTTGACCACAAGCAGTGCGCCCGCGTGCCCAGCATCATGGCTTAAGCGGCAGAAGTATGGCAGCTAATTCATCTGCAGCATGCTGCAGCAGTAGAGTCGCTTGAAAGTTGGGAGCCGCGACTGAAGGCACGAACGCCCTTGTGGATACTTTCAGGCCGCTAGCTTGGCAGTTGGCAGCCTTACGCAATGTAGCATGACATGCTGGTTGCATCGCCCTTCGAGTGCCGCCAGTAACTTAGAACATGCTGTTGCACAGGCGGCTGCCTCCTTGGCTTTGCTCAGCGCGCAGTGCGTGGAGGCAGCGGCCTCCAGCTGATGGCAACTGGCTTTCATCAATTGTGTAGCATTCTGGCTTGCAGTGTGTTGCTTTTTCTCTGGTTGCAAGTTCACGCTCTCGCATCAGGTGCTACAGGAAGCAATGCGTTGCGCGGAGGCGTGAGGCCTGGGTGCCCCTGCCTTCTGATCATAAACACATCCTGGACAATCAGCGTGCTGACTCCAACATGGATGTGTAGAGTGCTGGTTTGTGCAGCTGGGGACACGGCGGCGAGTTGACGTCAACATGTGCCAGGTCACGGGTTGCCAGAGCTGCTGGCGCAGTGCAGGTTGCATCTGACTGGAGCACGTATCAAACGCACTTGCTTCGCTACTGATCATTAGCTTGTTAGGTTCTGGAGTTGTGAAGGTCATGAGAGGCAGAGTTTTGCCCGGAGGATTGTAGGGCTGACAAATTTGCTGTGCATTCAATTGCTGTCACGTGTGCTCCAGCCCCTGACAGGAAGGGGACACCATTGCTGTGGTTGGAGCAGGCGGAAATGCCTTGAGCTGAGGCCCTGCGGTTGGGGATGTGCGGGAACCTTTAGCTGCTAAACTTTAGCTGCCTTCAAGATCTTCCATGATCTTTACAATTAAATTCGAACTTGGATGTGTGCACATAGGAATTAGCAGGGATATACAGTGAAATAAGGAGATGTTGCTACATGCGAAGTTCACAGCTGTGCGTCTCTCGTGCTGGGTGTCCTGATGGTCCCACCTACCAGCTGGTCATCATGGGTTTCACGGAGACATGCCTTCCCTGGCCCACACCAATGATGAGAGACGCCAGGGTTAAGCGCAGCTTAACATCGGTGTGCTGCGAGTTTCTGCGGGTTTGCTCTCGCAACGCGTGAGCCATGTGCATACTTGCAGCTGCTTGGCTCTCAGCTGTAAGTGACACTTCAACTACGTCTTGGCCCAAAGGGGACAATGGCGGTCACGGGTCTGCACAAAGAAGACAATGGTAGACAGACGAGGTTCGTTCCTAGGAAGGCAAATTGGCCACAGAACCTTCAAGATGTTTGTTTACATCCCAGGCTCCAACCTCGATGCAGGCCGCCGCAACCACGGACCCGAAGACGGACTGGAGGGTTTAGTCATGCAAGTATTTCATAAACTGGGCCCAAGATAATCAGGCCAGAAAGCCACAGATCAACCTCTATCGAATTCCCGTGCGCTAGCCCGCTGGCATCACTCTAGCCGTTGCTTGCACAAAAGTAAGCAAACTTAAAGTTTCCCGAGCCTTTGCAGCCAGGAGCTCAACCACTTTTGCCAGAGGTATTGTCAGCGGCCCGTCACCAAAGCGGAGCCTTGGCAGATGCTTTGAGGTCTGCAACTGGATACCTTGAAGTTGATTGTTTGCGCGACCATGGGCTCCACAAAGGGCTTTGCAGAAGGGCGGTTGCGCAAAGCCGCAACCTGTATTTGACGTGCTATACCTTTCACCTGCTTGGCTTGTACAATGGCTGGTATAGGGCGTTCCGAATGGGGTACAGCTGTGCCAAAAGCAATAGGTGTGAAGCCCGGTGCTCCTTGTGAAAGATGCATGGCCTCCTCTTCCCCAGGATATCTCCTACACCACGAACAAGTTCGGGAATCAGCAGCTCTTCCCAGACAGATTTCTTGGTGTCATAAAGCCAATGTTGGCGCCTGCATTGCTGATGTTACTATTGTCTATTGTCATTGTTATTGCGAAAGCTCCTCGTCAGAGGGGGCTTTGTTCATGTACCCGAACGTGGTGAGCTGGGTAGTGGGGACAGGGGTGGACACAAACGGCAGGCTAGAATACGCAAATGCTGGGATTTGGAGGGGATGCCGCAGGTAGTGATTCCTCGGCGCGTTTGGATACTCTGCAGGTGTGCCTTCGGAGGGTTTTCTGAGCGTGGGTCCTTATTTCGAGAGATTCCGGACATGTTTTGGTGGAGTCCTCGGCGCGTTTGGGTCCTCTGCCGGCATCCCTTTTTAGAGGTTTTTCTGGCGGCCCGCTGCGCCACCGAACAAACCAAACCGTGTCAAATGGCCACTGCAAAAGGAAGCTCATGAGCGCTGAGCTTGCGTGTCTGCCCCTGGCTCTGCTGTTTGTGATTATCGCTACTGTTGAAGTTTGCTGGTGAGCCAGCCATTTCTTGCAACAAGGTACCAGAGCATTGTCAAGCTGGATTGCATTCAGGCCATTTGCGAATATCACGGGCCACATTATAATTCAATGTCTTTACCTGCCCCCTCTCGGCCTGAGAACTTCTGCGCTGGTCAGGGTCAGGAGTATGCCGGCCACCTGTGTCTGAACCAGAAGGAGGCAGCACCTCGGCTGCAATTTGCTTAGCGTTCTGGAACAGTCCTGGACCCTTCACAGATTTGCCTTTTGTAAGGAAAAGTCTGCCGCCGAGCAGGCCGTCATGGCATTCCGCCCTCAGATGCCTGGCCAAGCTTGTGAGGGCGGCTTCAGCTAGTCTACCTAGCCTTTGAAGAAGCTAGTTTGTTGGTTTCGAGCTCAGACAATTGAAAGTCTAGGTCCTAGTTTCCATAAGGTCTTTCTCTTTCTGTTCTTTCAGAGTTCTGAGGATGGCTTCGCTGCCGCCGCCGGCAAGCAAGGTTGGGTGCGGGGGTGATGGGACGCAAGATCCTGACAGACGGGATTTGAGTTTCATGAGGCTATGTGCGTTGCATTAAAGTCTGGCCAGTTGAGAGGCCTCTACAATGGTGAGTTGAGATATTTGAGATCTGACATTCCATGAAGTGGCATGCTAGGAGAGAGTTGTGGCAAGCTTATCGTTCACAAGCAGCTGAGACGCTTTGGAAGCTGCTATCCTGTTTCTGATGCAAGGACCCTAAGAAGAAGAAGGAAAGGCCAAGGCGGGCTATTCACTCAGACTGTAGATCACTCCACCTGTACCAGGAGCATCTGCAGAAAACAGCTTGTGACTGATCACCACTTCACGTTTCCCAACATGAGACGGGCACGGCTCCCTCGGCCGAAGTCTAAGCAACCCTGCAATTGCTGGTCTGATCCCTTCACTCAGCTTGCCTGTGCCCGCGAATCGCATCCCGTGAGTTGTTGCGTAAGTTCTGGGCCGCCCAGTGTGGCATGCTTTGTTTATGGGCACACGCGTGGGGAGCTATCCATTTCCAAAAGAGGGTAGTGCTCAAGCGCTCTGATCCCGGAGGCTCACCCCCGCTGAGCTTGCTGCGAAGAAGGCAAAGCAAGCGGAGGCTCAGGGCCAGAGAGCTTGAGCTGGATGGAGTTGGGGTCCTATTGTCGTTCCCACATCTTCCCCCAATAAAACCGTACGCGTATTGGTATTTGGCCGGCCTGCAAGAAAGCTACCGTTGACTGGGTGTCAACCCATACTTCCAAGTCTTGAAACTGTGTATCATTATAGGCTCCATCCCGCTGGTTTGGAAGCTCTTGAAGCCAGCCCCAATCACATACAGGAAGGCGACAACCCTGCGGTGACGCCAAAAACGTGCCTCAGAAGCACTTGTTGGTCCGCATGCTGGCAATTCAAGCAAAAGCTTTCAGTGCATCGGAGTGTAAACACCGTGGTTGGGAACGAAGCAGCAGCCGACATTGGAAACCTTTTGTGCGAACAGACGCTTTTCGTCCTGCCTTCTACCCCCAAGGAAGCTCAATGCCTTGGTGGGAGACCTGGCCATGGAGTTTGGACGTTGGTAGACAGGACTGTTCCAGCATTCTCTGCGCCTTGTGTCATATGATTGCGCTTTGACTTTCATCGATCAAATGGCAAAGTTTGTTTGGATTCTGCGCGGTTCGTCATGCATCGTCTATGGACAAGCATGGGTGGCCTCTGCGCTAAATGAAGTCACTAACATTTCGCAAGAGGCCTGCAACCCCGCAGCACCCGCGGCAAAGACTTTGTACGAGGTCATGAAGATTGCTAAGCGCTATCTTCAGAAGGGAGAGACGATCTACGAGACCAAGACTTACGCTGGTGGTGGCCATCAGGCAGGGCTGAGACCCTCTGTGAAAACCCGGATGTGTCTTTTCCCCGCCATTGTTTTCTGTGAGTTTGCAAAGTATGGCTTCTTCGCTACTACTGCGCCGTTTTGCTTTACGAGATATCACATCTTGTCAGGCAACAGTGCAGCTGAAGGCCCTGCCCGGCGACTGGGGTAACCGCGTCTGGGCAGGCCACGTCAGCTCCACGAAGCAGAAGGCCTCTTGCCCACCTGCAACACTGGGCCCAGCAGTGCGAATGAGTCTTATGCAAGGGAGGACCTGGAACGACAAGTATGATAGTCTGATAACTATGGATTCGAATTGTGAGCTATGTCGATCCCAGCTGTACATCGCTCTGAAAATGTCTCGAAACTATGGTCTCGTTTATTTATGAAGTGGCCAGAATTCTGACCAGCCCCCATACGTCTGGATTTCGTGCTGAGAAGCGCCATAGATTGCAACTGATGGTAGGCTGAGCAAAGCGCAGCAGAGATCGCGTTGAAGCAGATCAGCGAGGCATTGGGGGTTGCTTGAGGCAGCAGAACATAAGGGTTGGCAGATTTCTGGTGATTTTGAAGTATTTGATGGTCACTGTGAGTAGGGCTTCTTTCTTTGCAGAGATAACTGCTCTGGGTTCGCACCTGAGGTTGTAGGGTTGTTACAAGCCTGGAACCACACGGGAGGATCATTGTACCCCACGACATCAGCATGTCCCTCATGGTTGGACATCTTGTGGTTTCCTCACAGAGATATAAGAGAAATCCGGATCACAAGAACAGCCAACAAATATCCAGATGCAATCAAATCAGGACCCCGATATGGTTGCAGAGGCAGCCAAGCCCAAGGGTGCCGGGAACAGAGCTCAGATAGCTTTCGCTTCTGTAGGACGGTATGCACGTGGTTATTTTTACCTTCAGCTTGCCTGCTGTCCAAACCAGGCTGCGCATCTTTGCTCCCCAACCCTTGGCCTCTTAAGGAAAGGAAAGGGCAAAGGCAAGGGAAAGGGCTTTGGCTTCATGTGGGGCCCTTGGGACTGGCAGATGATGCTCCTCGGCAGAACTCAGTCCTACAGAGTCATGATGGCTTCGTCTCTTCGCACTCTTTGCAGAAAACTTTCATTACGCATGCCTTTGTGCAGTTGGATGACCTTCTGCTGCAGCGGTAACGAATGCCCTAGAAGCACGTCCCCTCAGTATCTGCTTTCAAAGCTTGACCAGGTGGGGGGCTCCTTCAGGCCCCAATCTCCCGCGTGAGCGAATCACAGAAGAGCCGGTTAACGGGGAGGTGCTGGAGTGGAAGGACCTGGGGAAGAGGGACGAAGGCCTAAGCATGCCTCCTTCAGGATCATCAATGCCATATCGACATGCTAGACCCAAAGGGGATCTCCAGAAGCTCTGCCTCCAGTATTGGTGTTAGCTGAAGTGCGGTTCTCGCGGAGGACAGCTTCGGCTGGCTCAAAACCAACGCGTCTATCGACCATCCCTCCGCTAAGCAGCGTGAGGGCAAGATCTACGCGAGCAAGAAGGCTTTTGCGAGTAGTGGGGTATAGGTTTGCATGCAAATTGTGGAAAGGGTTTGGGAGAGACTGCTGGGATTTCTGAGCACTAGTTGTCAATCTGACAGGATGTGACCTCTGGAACAATCGAGACAGGATCCAAAGTTTGCTTCTACGTGTACAAGGACCGAGGGGTTTCAAGTGCACCATCACAGGTTGTCATGCCATCTCGTGCCTACAGGACGCCCAGGGTCTTGGAGCTGAAGAAGTGCAGGTGCTGTGATTTCTTGGCCCAGCCGCAGCCGTGCATAGTGAATGAAGCTGCTGGGCAAGTTTCAAGCTCGAAGGGCTGCTCAGACGCCCGTGCCCCGTGGGTTCAAGCTAAGTCAGCGATGCGACACATGGTTGGCTCCATTCCGCGAATATTTTTTGTGTGCAAGCAAAAGTTCTTAAAGCTTACCAGTCACTGAGGGCACGCTGCAACCCTTTGACTGACACTAGCCTCAGAAGGCAAAGCCCAATCAATGAGAAGACATGTTTCTCAAGTGCTTCTTTGCGTCGATGGAAGAGGAGCTTGCAAGACGTATAGTCAAGTAAACACACAAGCAGCTCTGCAAGACAGCCCTGGGTTGGCCGCCTTCCCTCTTCCTTCGCAGCTAAATTGATTGAGAGATGCCCTGCCCCGCAACCTGCGCTCCGAGGCGCAGACGCGCGGGACAGATGGGCATAGGATGATCGGTCCAGATTATGTCAAAGTTTTGCCTTTGGCAGATACCCTAAGAGTCCAGCATACTCTGTGACGAATGACATCTTGAGACTCTGAGAACCCAGAGTTGGGAGTTTGCTTTTCCCTTGTCTCCGAATGTCGGACCCTTAGGGGAGTTTTGGGACGGCGAGTGGATTCCAACAAACACGTCGAGAGACTGTCGTTGAGAGAACTGGGAGTCCGTCGACAGTGCCGGCTAATTGTATTGTACACAAAAGAAGAAGGTTCACAAGACTCATGGGAAGAATCAACCGCAAACTAAATGACAACACCACGGCACCGCTCAGTGCACTTACTTGTCGGTTCCCTCTCAAAAGACGCCAGCTTTGTGGGAAAGCATATCAATTCACTGATCTGAGAAATCAGTGAGATTCCCGTGTTTGGGGTTTGTTTACTGGACAAAACATAGTTGTATTGCTGAGTGGATGCCCCAGACGCGGAGGATGAAACGCACCTGAACGCTGAACGTAGTGCCTGATCTGCTATGAAAGCAGCTGTCAATATGTTCAACAGAGTGGCTTGGTCACCGTGGTTTAGCTGCTGCCCTGCTGATGGACCGCTGGCGGTAGCATAGACCCATTAGGGAAGTGCACTAACAACATACTGCAATAATCCGGCGATGGGGAGCTTTGTTCTGAGCCGCCTAGCTATCGGCAGATGCGGTGGGTCACCAGGGTGCTGGCCGAGCTCCACGAGAATTTTCACAGCAAAAAAGAGGGAAGACTCGTTGTCCCTCCATGATCGTGAGTCTCGGCCTCATCCTGCTCCTGTCCGTGTCCAGCCTGTGACGACACAGGTTCCCACGAGGTACGAGATGTCTTGCCAAAGACCTGCCATCACTCAGGGTTAAAAAAGGTGTCCGGTATGTCAAACTCTGCGGAAGCAAGCCTAGTCCTTGAGAAAGCCTGTGGTGTAGCCTTACATATTGTTTGCAAGCTTCACACACTCCAGCATGTCCGCGTTTGGAAACTGAGAATGTTGCTCCAGAATTTCTGAACAATACTTCAAGCTTTCCCATGCGCGCCTCTCCTCTGACCTCATTTCGGGCCACCACATTAGGAGTTCGGGCGAGCTAAGGTAGGTCGACTCGTCGCCCAACGACTCTGCAGCATGAATATGTTCCAGGTGCACGGTGCGCGAGGCCCAGTTGCTGCACGCGTCCACACGAGATTTGCCTGTTGCGTACGAATCCAGATATTCGGCCATGCATTCCCGAAACCAACTGCATTTGTTGATTGTGATGGCAGCGCATGTCTGTGGCTGATGCGATGGTCTCTGCTTTGAGGTCTTGCGGGACAAGGAGAAGGCTAAGTGGGTGCCTGCCACAGTGCAAAAAAAGTGCATACTTCTTCGGATCCAGCTCGCTCAAGCAGTGGGCACAGCTAGCACCTCCCGTTGTTGCATGCCAAGTGAGGCACAGGGCGTGTCTGGCCTGAAGCTCTTCGAAGCGGCCGCGTTCAAAGCTTTGGTTTTTTCACGCGGTTTGAAAGTTAAACTGGGACCGATTGGGCAGCTGTCGGCATGAGAAATGCCACCATTGTCACCACAACCACCAGCACTGCATACCGCCACAGCGGCCAAATAGGCCTGGTTGCT